GGAAATCCAGCCCACTGACTAGCTGATTAGGTGACATTTGACACTTCCAACCGGGCCCTTTAGTCTTCAGAAGGCGAATGCCTGGCTAATTCCCAAATGAGATGGCTCTTCCTCAGAGTTTCTCCTTTCTCCCACGCCCATACCTCTCAGATAGAGCAAAGGCCGCCGAGAACAATGAGTTTTGCAGCGAGAGGCCGTTGTTTCCGTCCCGAACTCATCGGCTCGAGCGAGGATTTCTATATTTACTTTTACTCATTGAGTAAAGAAAAATGAAATTGAAAACGCTATGAAAAGACAAAATTTCCCTTTATCCAGGATGACGTCATATCTTGAACAAAGCAAAGTAAACAAGCCACTGAATTTTCGCATTAACTTACAAAAGCCCATGAAAAAGTGGTGAATCCGATGGCCTCAAATGAAAATTCAAACGAAACAAAATATTTCTTCGTATTTATGTTTATACTTCCGCTAACAGATCCCTAAACAGGAAAGAAGGGTGAAGAATTTGATTGGCACATTCAGGCCACAATAAAGCGATCCCATCTAAGAATGAAAGCGGAAAAAAGTCCGGGGAAAAACCTTAGGAAATAGACTTTGAAGCCTATCCTACTTCAAATCAAACTTTAAAACTTCTAGGATGGAGACCCTTTATGGGTGCTTCAGTGATGAATAGATAGGAACAATTAATTACCAACTAACAACAATAACAATTAATTGGGAACAAGATGTAAGGGGTGATAAAGGATGATAAAGAGCGGTATTATTTATTGACAAAACAGCAACGTGCTCCTTCAAGTGATTTTATGCCACAGACCCGAAAAAATCAATAAATCAATCAGTTAGTTCAAAATCATTCGGAGATAATGAACGCGATTGGAAGGGCAAAGTTCACTGGCTAGAGTGTAGCAAGCACGACAAAAAAACTAAAATAAACCTGGAGTTTCAGTAGATCGAGTAACTGCGAGTAAACTTGGAAAATGAACGAAAATATCGAAAATCAATTATTGATTGATTGTGGGCTGCTTTTGAGCGAGAGACTTGAGGAAAAGGCTTGGTGGTAGAGCACTTACTGCTTTATCATCTGCAGGAGGGTAAAAAGCTTGATTGGCACATTTCAGCCACGATAAGGAGTTGCCATGGAAGATGGAAAGTGGCAGAGAGCTTGACGGAAATTTGAAATTCTCGTAAGCCAAAAAAGGAACGGCACTAAAAATGATTCTGATTTCGCATCGATTTGCCCAGACAACTTGCAAGGGCTTGGTGTTTTTATGAAAGAAATTCTGGGAACATTGGCAATTCTCAGCTTCCTTTGTGAAAGCGAAGGAGAAGTCGAGAAGTGAAGGAGGTAGAAGTCGCAGTCACTTTTCCGGTTAGCAACGAAGTCGCTCACCCGTTTCCAGTCTACCGCAGCTACTTTTATAGGCCCTAAATCATTGTGACGTACTTTTGACTTTGCTTCGATTGGTTCTTGCAATTTGGGCTGGACCCACATACGATTAACTCCAAGACTTTACGAAAAATTGGGTATGTGGCGCATCCCAGAGTTAAACCGATCAATTTCGTGCTAGTCATCGTCTTCTATGCCCAAAATGCTGGGAACTTAGATAATGCATGTCTACAGAAGAGAACTTACATTTTTTAAGACCTGAAAAACCAATATTCCAAATGTGTTGGGAAGCCTATTTTTCACTCGAAAACGAAGGCGGGGG